TAAGATGGAGTTTCACTCTAAATCACCCAGGCTGGAGTGCAGTGGCGTGATCTCTGCCGCCCCGGTTGAAGCGATTCCCCTGTCTCAGCCTCCTGAGTACTTGGGATTACAGGCACCTGCCACCATGCCTGGCTAACTCTGTGCTCTTCCCTCTATACTCAGGGCCTGCAAACTACGACCTGTGTACCAAATCCTCCCAGCTTCCTATTTTTATAAATGAATTCCTCTTTTGTTTGTAGCTGCTTTCTCAGTAGCAGAATAGAGTGATTGCAGCGGATATTGCATGGCCCTCAGCTCCTCCAATATATACTACCTAGCCCTTTACAGAAAAAGTTTGCCAACCTCTAGCTTTTGAAGCTAAGAAGTCCAAGTTTTTCCATGCAACAGCTACTTTCATGAACATGAAGCAAGGGATTTGAATGACCATGCTTGCAACTCCGTCACTCTGAAAGCTGTGCCACCACCATGTGTAGCATTTTGTTTTAATTTAGCAGGTTGAGACAACTCAGCTCTTTACCCAGAAATTTTTGCTTTAAATGCTGCAGAAAGAAATCACAAGACAGAAAAAATGCTTGTTTTGATGGTGGTCATTGCCAGTAATGGAGTGGCTAAGGGTGCAGGAATGGATGTGTCAGCAGAATGTACCTTCTGCAGTTTGTTGGTTTTGACTGGAAGAATACTATCTTGGAGAAGCAATGCTGACCTATTTTGGATGGATTTTATTTCTCTGGACAGGAGGTTTAGGGCTGAGTGCAGTGGTTCATGCCTGTAATCCGAGCACTTTGGGAGGCTGAGGCAGAAGGATTGCTTTAACCCAGTAATTTGAGACCAGCCAAATGAGACCCTCATCTTTCCAAAAAAAAATTTAGAAAATTAGCTTGGCATGGTGGCACAGGTATCTTAGCTGCTAGGGAGGCTGAGGTGGAAGAATTGCTTGAGCCCCGGAGGTTGAAGCCACAGTGAACTGTGATCACGCCACTAAACTCTAGCCTGGGTGACAGAGCAAGATATTGTCTCAAAAGAAGGAAAAAAAAAAAAAAGGAAGTTTAAGGTCAATCACAATGAGTTAGAGAAGCAATCTTATAATCCTCAGGGCCCTGCTTCTGGACGGTGGCTTCTCACCCTTCCCCAGCCTCTCTTGGGATTTCCCGGGACTCTATTCTCTTTCTACCCTCTTTTCCTCATTGGTCTCCACTCTGGTTGTTCTCCCATGCCTTCTCTGAGGATACCTCCCAGTTGCTCCAACAGCCTCTCCTAGAAATGACCATCACTAAAGCAATCCGCAAGACCTGCCATCAGAAAGATCTTTCTTTTTTTTCATCTTAATTTATTCTAGAATTGTGCTTATTTTTTACATTATTTAAAAGCCACTAGAATTGTTTTATTTTCTTAGATAATCTTTAAATTCCCTTTTCTCCAGTTTTAATAACTTGCTTTATTGGCAGGTGCTGTTCAAGGCAGTAGAACCATTTCTTTGAATTCCTTCTCACCAGAGGTATTTGTGCTGCCTGTCGATGTAGAAAAGGTGAATGCTGTCTTCTTTCTTTTTAATCATAGAGTCTTAATTCTTTAGATAGTGTTGTTCTGATTTAAATCTGGAAACTTCAGTTTGATGAAACATCACAAATATGTTTCCTTTCAGTATTTGATTGGTAGAGACTGCCAGAAACACTAAGCTAAGAAGGGTTCCAAGGCAGCACCTGTGTTCAGCTGGAAAGTTTTCTGTGATTGATGCATGATGTCTGCCACTGGGCTTCCCCCAACCTAGGGTTTTGTACAACAAGAAATCCAATTTGAGGGCCAGGCGTGGTGGCTTATGCCTGTAATCCCAGGACTTTGGGAGGCTGAGGTGGGCAGATTACGAGGTCAGGAGATCAAGACCATCCTAGCCAACATGGTGAAACCCCATCTCTAAAAAAAATCCAACTTGAGTTGTCTGTTGATTATAGTAAGCCAAATCTATGTTTCTGGACAATGTATGCTGTAAGTCATAAAGTGACCTATGATAACTCAGTGAAATGAATTTAACTCCACTTAAATAGAGCTTCTTGATATTTCAAATCTAATACACCCTCCATGGAAAAAGTTGATCATGCTTGTATATTAATTGATTTCTTTTTCTGCAGGAAAATTCCCACTTTTATGTTGCAGATATGATTATATCAGCAATGGAGAAAATGAAGTGTAACATTCTGAGTCAACAGCAGACAGAGAGCTGGAGTAAAGAAGAAGCACTTGGGTTACTTGGGAGTGATCAGCCTGACTCTGAAGTGACTTTTGATACCAACATAAAGCAAGAATCTGGGTCTTCCATTTCTTCATGCAGTGGCTATGAAGGCAAGTTGCGCAAATATGAGAAAGCTGTATGTTATGTATTTCACATGTCTCCTCTATAATATCCCCTTTATCCAAGACTCCCAGTAGAAGCCTGAAACTTCAGATAGTACCAAACCCTAAATGCACTACACATTTTTTGTTATTCCTGTAACCAAACCAAAAGGGTTACTAAATGACTAGTGGGCAGGTATACATACAGTGTGGTATGCTGGACAAAGGGTGATTCATGTCCCAGAGGGGACATGGCAAGATAGTGTGGGATTTCATCATCCTACTCAGGATGGTGCACAATTTAAAACTTAAGAATTATTCATTTCTGGAACTTTTCATTGAATATTTTTGGACCACTTAACTGCAAGTAACCAAAACCATGGAAAGTGAAACTGCAGATAAAGGAGGACTAATTTATGTCTTTAAATCCTTTGTCTAAAAACTTCTTGAGTAACCTATGTAATCCTCACCATTTCCGCCATCTGAGTCGAAATTGGTTATGCTCCATTCAGTTGTCCAATCCTATTTTTTTTTAAATCTTGGACTCCTTCCTTCCTTCCTTCCTTCCTTCCTTCCTTTCTTTCTTTCATTCTCTCTCTTTTTCTTTTCCTTCCTTCTTTCCCTCCTTCCCTCCCTCCCTCCCTCCTTCCTTCCTTCCTTCTCTCTCTCTCTTTCTCTTTCTTTCTTTCTTTCCTTCCTTCCTTCCTTCCTTCCTTCTTTCTTTTCTTTTCTTTTCTTTTCTTTTCTTTTCTTTTCTTTTCTTTCTTTCTTTCTTTCTTTCTTTCTGTTGTTGTTGCTGTTGTTGAGATGGCATTTAACTCTTGTTGCCCAGATTGGAGTGCAACGGCACCATCTCAGCTCACTGCAACTTCCTTCTCCCAGGTTCAAGTGATTCTCCTGCCTCAGCCTCCCAGGTATCTGGGATTACAGGCATGTGCCACCACGCCTGGCTAATTTTTGTAGTTTTAGTTGAGATGGGATTTCTCCATGTTGGTCAGGCTGGTCTTGAACTCCCAACCTCAGGTGATCCACTTGCCATGGCCTCCCAAAGTGCTGGGATTAACAGGTGCGAGCCACCACACCCAGCCCTTCCTGAGATTTTAAACTCTTAGATGGAGGAGAGATTATCTTGTTTGTATTTGTGTTTAGTATAATGCCTTGTCTGAAATAGGTATTTTAATAAACATTTGTTTAGTGGTTGGGTGGAAATTGATGGTAGCTGAAACTTTAAGAAAACATGAATAAATATGAATATGTTAAATGAAAATTTATATTTCTATCCTCCAAATATAAATATTTATCTTTTATTGAGTATTTCTCTTGTGACATTTGTGGCAATAGATGTTCTTCCATGAGATAGGTTGGTATTATTCAAACTGCAGGTTGGTC